CCACTCTGTGTGTCCTGGGGATCTCTAATTTGAGGCCTGAACATGTTTAAAGAACGCTGTTTTCATGTGTCCACAATGCACTGTTTATTTTGACCCATCCTCCTAGGAACATGCTGGGTACTTCCCTTGTACTTTTTTTTCCAAAGAAGGCCAGGCAGTGATGACAGGGCTCTTTCTCTGTGCTGGCTCTGAGATCAGCTGTGTCTGTGTCTAGACCTTCAGAGAGAGGTCATAATAATCTCTGGATTTAGCATCTTAAAAATCTCTCTGGATCTGGTTCTCCCTTTGTTGATTTTAAAGTACAGAAACTTACTTGAGACATGAATAGCCCACTGCCATATTCCCATGAGGGTTTAACAGATTTGAAAATTATTATCATAATGACAGAATATTGGATGCTGTGATAAACTAGGAAGTTCCGATGCCAATTTAAAATGTAGTGAAGTTTAAAAAGAATTACTATCATAACTGTTGCTACCAGAATCCCTTTTGCCTAGGGAACTGACATAAATATATACGTATATATATTTACTTTTTTTTGAATACCCAGCACCTGGCTGAGCGGTAGGCACATAATACGTGCTCAATAAATATTTATTGAAAAAAATGAATGCATAACATACATATCGAAGGGTCATTTAGATAGACTAAATATAACATCTGAAAGAATAAAGCAGAACAGGAAAAGCTGAATGCTTATGCATGAAAAAATTTGAGGAAATTAGCCCTCAAGAGGGGAGAGAAAAGGAAGAGTGAGAAGGCTGAACAACAATTCAGGAGGCAGGAACAGAGATTTTTAAGCTTGATGTGGTAAATTCAGATGTGGTAAATTCAGAGTTATAATATCCCTCCATCTCCACATATTTATATAAAGTCTGCTATATACAAAAAGGTCTCAAGTGAGGGCTTTTAGTTGTTTTACTTGCTTCATGGCAAGCAGCGAAAGGTGTTGCATTTCATGTGTGGGAAAGTACCAAGAGAGCAAGGACTGCACAACGAATGGTCAACTAATCTATAAACTATTTTACTAGAAGCAGGAACCAAGAGCAAGGGGTGCCACCTCCTCCTTCTTCCTCCACCCAACTTCCAAGAAAGTTTGGATTGTGTGGAGCTCACCCTGCACACAAAGGATGGGTTTCATTTTGATCTCCACTGACATCTAAATATGATAAGAAACAACCATTGGATTACCTACTTCATTGGTATCTGATATTGCTCACCTTGCTTTTTCTTTCAACCCTTCCTATTATCTTCCTCTCCTATTCTTTATAGTGCCTTGAATAACTTTCATTATCATGAAATATGAAAGATTCTGCTGAGAGAAAAAGCAACAAAATGAGAAATATGTTTATTCCCATAATATCTCAGAAAAGTGTAGGCCAGAGATTATCACTTATGAAACCTTTTATTGCTCTCTGTAAGACCCAGCTTAGTAGAAATAGAATGGTTTTTGAAAAATTCTTGTTATCCTGAATCCAAAGTAATAATTAATTAAATATAAGAAATTATGATAAAATCTAAAACTGAAAATAAGATTTGTTGAAGAAAAAATAATTTTTCATGTCACTGAAAAAATGTGCTTTTCCCATCTCCAAACATCTTATCCACCATGATGATTAGTGAGATTAAAACAATAATTTACTCTCTGCTACTGACTATGATAATAGTTGTCTTTTATCATAT